AAAAATTGTGTTGTCTTCAAGTACCAGATCAGAAGTAGTATTTGACTTTCCTGTAGTCAGTTTTATACCCCAGTGGATAGATCAATAACTGGGGACTCAGCAGTACTGATTTTTTTCCAAATCCTGCCATTGGCCTGCTAAGTGACTATGGGCAAGTGTGAGGGATGGGAGGCATGCTAGAGGGGGTGGTGGCAGAAAGACTGTTGAAATCTGAATTGTATAGAGATATCTAGCTGCTTCTTCCTTTGTGGGAGTTAAGGGCTGAAGGAGCAACATGCAGTAATCAGAATTACCATGCCTACCAGGAATATTGGGCATGGGAGTAAACTGGGCCTTGAAGTATGGGCCAGCACAGATGGTGAGTAGAAAGGAAGGCAAGTTTAGTTGTGATCAGAGCATTTTTCTTTGTTTTTGTTGTTTGGTTAAGCTTCTCTCTGTAAAATCTTTGTGCTGCTCCCCCGCCCCCATTCACTATATATAAGCTATACCCAAAGATACTACGTTCTCTGTGTTTTAATTTTTTTTTCTTTCAGTTGCTGTGTAACAGCTAGTAACCAAGTATGCTTTATTAAGGAGATCTTTTAGTTTTTGGTTAATAAAATCATCTTGTTTAAGGAGATAATTTGATTCTTGTGTCCTAGAAGGAAACAGGTCTCTGTGTGTGCCTGCCTAGCTTGAGACATCAGCTATCAAAGACACAGTTTGTTTTTTGTGTTTTCTTTTGTTTCTATTTTTTCAAGATCTCTTGTGGCAGAAGAGGTTGGGGTACCTCAGGGAAGAAATTCAAGTGTTCCTTCCTGGTTTTTCAGGTTTTTTTAAAAATCACTTGATGGTGGCAGCCTGTCTTCTACAGCTAGTGCATCATAAACAGAGCCTATAGAGGCAAGGCATTTAGGGACTTTTGTAGTCCCCCACCTTCTGCATTCAGAGTGCCCGGGGGAGAATATCCCTGCTGGAATAACATGGTGGCAGAGCGGTGGGATCATTTTGAACCAGGAACACAGACCTCAGGATTTTAAAAGGACACTTTTTTTCTCCTGTTTTGCTGTTTGGAAGTTTGGGAACTTTTTTTCCCCCTTCTGCTGCCTGAGAGGGGAAGGCACACAGAAGATTAAATCTGCACAGCCAGAGAGTCCAAACCAGAGGGGGTTTTTTTCTAGCTTTTGGGGCAACCGGATAGCTAGGCTAGAATAGAGCATGAAAGCAGCCCAGTGCATGCATCTGTGATCAAGCAGAGTAGCTCTGAAGCAACCAACCCTCCCTAAGCAGCACGCTAAAGTGAAAACAGCCTTAGATCAGGATGTCCACCTCTGGGGAAGACTCATTTCACGAGGAGTAACGGTAGTTCGAACTAGGAAGCCTAGTTCGAACTACCTAGTTCGTGCCCCGTGTAGCCGCGCTGCACGGGGTTCGAACCAGCGGGGTTTTAAAAATGGCGGCTCCCCGCTTATGCAAATGAAGCCTGGGAAATTCAAATCCCGGGCTTCATTTGCAAGTGCGGTATGCCTACATTACCCCGCTAGTTCGAACTAGCGGGGTAGTGTAGACATATCCTAAGAAAAATTAGATCTTATTGAGATCAACATTTTCTGATTTCTAAATGACAAATTCTGAGTATTTGAGTACAGATGTTGGTCTTGGAGCTCTTGTAACTGTCATGAGACTAGAGGAATTGGAGAAGAACATGTGAAAATATTTCCTTTACTTTTCTTTAAGAAGTTCTCTGGAATCTTTAATGGACACAAAGTACACAGGAATTCAGCTTGCCATTTATGCCAAGCATTTCTTGCTACAGTATGAAGGAAATGGAAATGTACAGAACAGTTCTCTCATGAGTACTAAAATCTAAATTTAACACCGTTTGAAAATCAAGTGTGCTAGGGCAATGTTCCAAAATAGTCACATAGAGTGATCCTTGCAGGTGTTGAGTACCTTCGGCTCCTTTTTTCTTTGTTTTCTTAGTTCACATTCGTTGAATGTTTGTTCTAAGCCTCTTCATTTCCATATTTCTGTCAACTTCCATTCATACTTATTTCAACTCCTGAAATTCTCAGAAACCTCAACAGTCTTAATTCTGTGTACTGGAGAAAAAGAAGCCTTGGAATTTTCAGTGATTTCCAGCAAGATAGTCTCCCCTTCCTCCTCCCCCCCCAACCAATTTTACCCTCCACTATTATTTTGCTATTTTCTCTCCTTCCCCATACATCTAAAACAGAGTTAAACATTTTTGTGTGATAAAGTGGATTAAGTTGCTGTGACTAGTGTTGCATCCTTTAATGTGAGCTGTTTTAGATTGCTTTGTCTTTTATGTTATAACTTCTGCTGCATACAGTGCAGATTTGTCTTTTATGCTAGTCTCCATCATTTTGCAGATTGTTGTGGTAATATGCATCATAATAGCTAAACTGCTGTAGGAAAACATCTCTGGGAACATGAATTAATTTGTAAAGAAATTGTACCATTCAGCACATTATATTGCCTATTATCTCAGAGAACATTTCTTGCTGTTCTATGTCTACTTAGAGGGGCAATTTACATGAAAGCAGTGTTACACTACTTAAGCGCCTTCTATAAAATATTATAAAACTGATGGAACATTATTTACCCCATGAGATAATATAGATTTTAAATAGCTGAGAGAACATAATTACCGTAAGACCCAACTGAAAGTTGTAAACACATGCAACTCTTTGTAACTAACATACGCTTTTGCTAACTTTTCTTTATTGACTTTTACTTTCATTTACAGGTTATATACCTTATGGAGTACTGAACTCTAATTTGACAGGAATTAATACCCACATCTAAGTTCTTTCACTTCAGCTAATCAATATATGAACACAGACAGGTTAAATAGTAAATAATAAACGTCTTGTCTCTATCCACCAAACATGAGAGTTCTTTAACTGGCAATTCCCACAGTTATAAGAGGATGATCCAAAGCTTAATGAAGCAAATAGGACTTTTTCTGTTTACTGGAAAAGGTTTGTATGAGACACCAAGGCCCAGAGGTTTTGGATGGGAGTTACAAGGAAAGAAGAGATAAGTATGTGTTTTCAGGACCAAAATCATGATGGCTTGGCTGAAAAAAATATTTTTCAGAGTCAAACTGAGGGAGATGTACTGCCTATAAAATGCCTAGTAGTAGTTTCTCTTTGTTGTCCCAGTGTGTCTATTAGCCTTCTGGCACTGCCTCACTTACCTGTCCTTAAAGCAAAGGACTCTGGGACTCCTCCAAAGCTCATTGAACTCAATAGAAATCATTCCATTGGCTACCGTGGGCCATGGATGAAGCCCCGTGAGCCCAATTTTCAAATTTGAAAGCCAAAATAAAAGATGAATCTCTCATTTGGTCTCTCAGACTGGCAGCTGGGCATCTAAGGGCATAGACAACTTGTGATACAGCATACTGGGGGGGGGGGGGAATATGAAGGGGAGGACATGTGACCTCACAGCCAAGGTTTCTCAGGCCAAAGTGGCTTTATCTGGGTCCCTGCCCAGGTTCCAAGGAGAGCAGCTAAATGTGCTGGCTAGGGACATACAGGGAGAGAAAGACAGAGACCCTTTTCTTCCCTAAGGCACTCATGCATGAAAACTGCTTCTCTTCAAACCAGAGTGTGAGTCAGTTACTGTCACCGGAAAACAGTTACTTATTCAAGAGGTGAACACAGGACCATGTAAACGAGAAACTGCTCAGAAACAAAAGTTGGGGGATTGCTATTGGCCCATAAGGGATGGCCCAATATTCAAGATAATGCTGGTTTCGATGGGGTTACTTTTCTAAGCTTACTTCTGAGGGAAAGGGTTAACAACCTGGCCCTTTTATTGGGCAGAGGGAATGTAACATATGTCACCCAGTCTATATGAAACTATACTATCTTATGGTGGAAAGAATGCAGGATGGGCAGGCCCCACAGGAATGATATCTACCTCCCCATTGCTATGTCAGCTAGCTTAGATCCTGAGCTCCATGATGCTTGCATTGTAGTCCTAGGTGTTTCTGAAAAGACTAGTGGCACTGTTGTTGAATTGTGTTGTAAGAGTGAGACTAGTCACACTTTATAGTAAAGTTCCATTTATTCATAATGGCTTGATAAATTATTCATGTGATAGACATCAATATCATGCATAAAATGGTTATGAGCACATAATTAGAAGGTGTTAACGATGGATTGTTATATGCAGCCCATTACCTTTTCAACACTAACAGTCTATAACAATTGAATAATAATTTATAACTCTTATAATTTATAAACCTGAATATAAAGTGTAACAAAAAGACTATTGCTTGGGTAAGGTGCAGTAATGCTATCTCTCCAAGTATTTGCAAAGCGTTGCCAACTCCCCCACCTAAATTTCCACATTTGTTCCCATTGTTCCAGTTCTTGATGGACACCCTGTAGGTAAGACACACATTCCCATAACTGATCAATCCCCAGAACCTTTGTTAAGGTAAGGGGTGTTAGTTAATGTCAACTGGTATAATGCTTTTTGTGATATGGACTCCTGTTCTTCAGAATCTACCATATATAGACTCATTTCATATAAACCACTCCATGAAGCATCTACTTTTTTTGATAATTACTTTCAGCAACACTTATTTGGGATTTTGGCTTTCAAGTGAATTGAGTTATGTATCATTACCTGGGCCATTCAATCTCATTCTTTGCATGAGTTTAGAAAATAAGAACAAAAGAATGGCTGTACAGGATCAAAACATGTCCCATGTAGCTCAGGATCCTGCCCCACGACAGTGAATGGTGCCAGATGTGCCATAGGGAATAAAGAGAACAGTGCAATTGTCAAGTGATCCATCCCTTGTCATGCAGTCCAAGCTACTGGAAGGCAAAAGCTTATGGAAACCATCAGCTCATCATGGACCATCAGTGCTAATAATCATCGATGGACCCAGTCCTTTACAAACTTGTGTCATTCTTATTTTGAACTTTTCGGAACGTGATTTGTGTGAAAGGTCTATAAGAAGGAAAATGTTTCCTTACCTAACAGAACTGCTGCCAACATCAAGGTCCTGTGCAGTTACAGCACCTATAATGGTCCCAACAGGAGTATCCTCATAAACCTCCATGGTGTACACAGGCTTGCTGAAAACTGGAGGTTCATCCACATCCAACACATTGATCTTCACTGTGGCTGTATCTTTGAACGGACCCACAGAGTGGAATCGATGATCAAGATGCACATTGGAAGCCTCTACTTTAAAGGTATATGCCTTTTTTGTTTCAAAGTCTAATGGCTGTGGTAAGGACAGACAAAAACATCATCAGATGTGGCAAATTCACTTTGTCAAAGGTTCTGCAGACTATAGAATTTAACCTGCGATAGATGACTCAGAGGCTGGCGTGCTTAGTTCCCATACACTCTCAGCAGAATAGCGTCCCTTCCAATTAGTTGAGTTATGCTACTTATAAGTATTAACATGGTGGCTCCCAACCAAGCCCAGCTCACAAATGAAGGTTGGGGTAGAGTTAGGAGTTGAACCAGAATCTTCTGTATCCTATTATCTCAAATCCAAGTACCATTTTTACATACATCACAAAAAATAGAGAAAGAACACTTAGGGTCGTAATGGATCCAACCCAAAATCCTACTGTGTAGAGATGAGTCAAAATAAAATTTTAGGGTGTGGCTTGGAATCTGAATTCAGACCTGGATTTTTTTATCGTGATGAAAAATCCATAAACACTCAATAGACCTAAAGAACTTGAATAGAGGATGTGGTCAAAATCCAGATTTTAATTTTGCAAATTGGATGCAACTCTAACCTGTAGTGGAATGAATGGCAGTTTGGGTACAGCAAGCTGTAAGTTACCTGACAAAAGATACATACTGAAATTTGACTAATTTGATCTGAATTTCTTTCTCTATAAAATAATACATTGTCCTTTGCAAACTAATCAGAGATATATGTTCTTTGCATTATTGCACTGATATCATGTATATTATTGAAAGATACGAAAGCTATACTATGAATACAGTCTTTGGCTGAGTTGCCTCTTAAGCTTCTAACATTTAACTGAAAAAGTCTTTTCATGATGTTTAGATAACACTGGCATCTAGTGGCTTTCAGTTATAATAGCCAAGATATAAAATTACAATTTAAAAGGATATAGTATTTGAAGAAAAACACTAGCTTATAACTGTAGGACTTAAGCAAGAAGAGGTTAATGTTTATTTCATTACCATCATCACAACCATCACCACATTGTCTCCCAATCAGTTTTCTAGCATGGATTTAAGCTCTGCCATATCCTGTCCTTGTTGCAGGGCTGTAATTGGCTTGAGACTGGGATGGTATAAATAGTAGTAATTCCATTTAAGTTAATGTGCTGATTTATACCAGCTCAACACCTTTCATAAGAGTTTTAAATCCTTGAAAAAGGCTCTATGCATGACCAAGCTTTTCAAATCTGACAATATTAAGCACACACGTGTGTGTGTGTGTGTGTGTGTGTGTGTGTGTGTGTGTGTATATAAAAATAAAAAAATCAAATTTGAAAACTTTGAATATGTCAAGCTGCTTGTATCAAACTGGTTTCTTTATTCAGGTAGAATACCATTAGTCTCAGAGGCTACGTCTACACTGGCCCCTTTTCCGGAAGGGGCATGTAAATTTCAGCAGTCGTCGTAGGGAAATCCGCGGGGGATTTAAATATCCCCCGCGGCATTTAAATAAAAATGTCCGCCGCTTTTTTCCGGCTTTTAAAAAAGCCGGAAAAGAGCGTCTAGACTGGCCCCGATCCTCCGGAAAAGGGCACTTTTTTACTTTGAAGTAAGGGCACTTTGAAGTAAGAATAAGAGCCTCCGGAAAAGGGCACTTTTTCCGGAGGATCGGGGCCAGTCTAGACGCTCTTTTCCGGCTTTTTTAAAAGCCGGAAAAAAGCGGCGGACATTTTTATTTAAATGCCGCGGGGGATATTTAAATCCCCCGCGGATTTCCCTACGACGACTGCTGAAATTTACATGCCCCTTCCGGAAAAGGGGCCAGTGTAGACGTAGCCAGAGTGAACTACTCCTGATTAAGGACTACGCAATTGGGCTGACAGGGATCAGCTGTAAAGCATGTGCCTAAAATAAATGTTGAGAAGTTTTATGTTAGGCCCAGCTTTATGATTTGTGGGACGGCTGGTTAGCAGTACAGGATAGATAATTTCTAAGGGTCTGATCACCTGGTGGTTCAGAACATGTGGCCATGCGTCTGTGAGCACAGGACTACAGAAATGGGCTTGCGCTATGGCACTAAAAATAGCTGGGTAGACACTGTGGCATAAGCCACAGGGGCTGAAGTCCATCTCCTCTCCCCATGCTACAGCCTAAACAAAATGTCTACACAGTTATTCTAGTGCTAGTATTCACTGACATGGGTTTTTACAGTGTGTAGTTGCCTTCCCCTCCACTATCATCTAAACAACCTCATATTCCAGGAGGAATGAAACTTTTCACTCAAACCCATATGAAACAAATTTTTTTGTATTTTGAGTTTATGTTTTTTTATTTTAATTTTTTTAAAAACAAACTTGAAAGAAGTTTCAAAACAATTTGGAGCTTGAACCATAAAATCTAAACACTTATTTTGGCAAAATATCAAAATGAATGTCCAAATCCAGAACTTTTTATTACTCACATGAATTAGCAACACCACCAAGAATTTGCAAAGTCTTTGTGACTATGTCTACACTACAATGATCTATCAGAAAAGGTATGCAAATTGCGCTCCACAATTTGTGTACCTTTTTCCGATAGTTTTTGCGGAAGAGGCTTTTCTGAAATTTGGCCTTTCTACACTGGACCAAATTTCAGAAAAGCCTCTTCTTTTGGAAGAGCCCTTCTTCCTCATGGGAGGAGAAAGAAAGAACTTCCATAAGAGTGTGTTTGCTCTTCCGTAAAAAAAAGCTGAACAACAGACAGGCTCCCTGGATACGGCAGTTTTTCTGGGATACCTCTGGCTATGTCTTTTCTGGGATACTTTTGGTATCCCAGAAAAACCCCATAGTGTGGAGTAACAGCCTGTGTTATTGAATCTCTATTTTGCACCCCAAAAAAAGTTTGGGACAAAAATTTCACCTAGCTCTAGGCAGGAACAATGTTGGGGTCCAAAGAAGTTATTTATTTGCAGATGGCCCTGTCTGATATGGACGATCTGCTTCACCATATCTCCCTAGCATACTAAGCATGCGATAGGGGCTGTCCAGAAAAATTACTGAATTAAAAAAACCAAAGTAACACAGTTTAGATTGCAGGTAAATACACTACTGAGGAGTGCATCATTTCAGACAAAATATAAAATGGCCCAAACAATGGCATCTTCCATGTTTAATCATGGAATACTGCTTTTACAAAACTGTCTGTCAAATGAATGTAACCAAGATTTATATAGGTAGAAATATGTCTGTAGATGCCAAATGTTAGTTGTCCTCCTCCGATTTTCAGTCTAGAAAGAAACAAATGCAATAAGATGTGGAAAATATTAAGCAATGTTCCCTCTAATTTTTTCCATCCATGCACAGAATAAATTTTGCTATGTTCATTGACGCATCAGGAGAAATAAAAAAAAATAGTTGTGAGTGCTCTGCTAATCAGCTGGAGAGCATTTGAATCTCTCATGAGTGGCTGTACAAACACAAATTACAGGGAACGCTGCTTTTAAGTCTCAAATTATTCCTTATTTTCATTCACCCCCATCTAGGTGCTTAACTATCCATAGTGCTCTCAGATATTTCATTCAGCCCCAGAATGGGAACTGGAAAAATTTGCTTTACAACCTGTTCCTGTATGCAAATGAGATTGCATACATATCTCAACCATGAAGATAACTAGAGCAAGTCTTACTATACACCTCAAATCCTGGTACCCAGTTGCTGTAGTGGGACGCTGTTAGAAAATTTGATCATTGTTTATCTTGGAGCTACCTAGCGCTCAGCCTAGATTTCTGTAAACATTCCAAGTTTTACAAGATGTTGGAATGTAGTCTAGCTGCCAAACAAATTGTGCATCTCTGCTGTCACCTGGTGGCAGGTCTATATAATTAAACATTACTGTCCATGCAAAATCCTTAATGCTAATTAACTACAGTGTAGTGACTTTGATGTTATAGGACTCCAAGAACAGCAGAATTTGTACTGGATAAAGATTTAGATTCCTTAAATTCTAGCTAGTTTTACATAAGAGATTCTCCCGTCAGGCCTCCATTTTAAGGTAATGATTAAAAGGCTCTAAACATGGAAGAAGTTACAAAACAATGATTGTTGTTGTAAAATGCAAGTGTCTGTGGAAGTTCTACTAAAAGTCTATAGAGTTAAATACAGAATGAGCTCCTTCCTGTGTTTGGTTTTTTTTAAGGAAAGCCTATTGAAATCTATCTGTACTATAGACTTCTACTAAATTCAAAAGAATGGTTACAAAAAACCATAAGGAAAGGCAACATTTTGTTACATTTCAAAGGTTTTTTCCATAAGGGAATAACAGATCTACTAGCACCAATGTGGCAATTTTCTTCAACCATGTAGCTGTAGAGCTATTATGAAACCATTTTGTAATCATGTCCTTACTTTCAGTCTCATAACAGAGGCTCCCTTGACAGGCCCTGTCTTTCTTCTCTGTGTTTGAACTATAAACTACAGCATGCAGTTTATACTCATAGAAAAGCACTACCAGTAGATGCAGAGCTGTGTATAGCAAAGGCATTTTGCAAATACTAAATTAACACATAATGACAAAACATGTTAGACTCATAAGAGGTACCAGTATGAGTATTTTTTTAAATATTACTGTTTCCCTCACACCATATGGAAGCAACAGGACTCTGACAAACAATACTTTACCGTAAATTGTACAAGTAAAATATAATATTGATGTTTTCCTCCCTAAATAGAAGGTTATTAAAAACAAAAGTTCCAAAACATGCCATAAACTGAAAGTGGCTTAATGAGTTATTATGATAAGGATGACATAGGTACAGAAAAACTATATGTATGTAACAGAAAAACTGTTCTGACAATGAGAAAAGGACAAGCTCACAAAAAGTATTGGAAAGGCAGCCCCATAATCTGCAATATTTATCCACAGAACATATACAGCATGACATTGGCAGTATGAGTTTTCCCCAAATGGTCACATCCATATTTCTCAGTTCTATCGTGGAGAAGGCACTATCTTTTAGGATAGGATGGTTGGCCAAGGTTTAAATGAGCATAAAATGCAATCTGTGGAGACTGCCAACAAAAAAGTCAGTGAGTG